ACGATCGTGCGTGCTAGGCCACCACTTCGCGTGGCTACACCCAGCCAGGGTCGGCGTTTGGTTCAAGTTTCCACAAGGATTTTTCAATCAAAGATAATCCAAAAAGGAATTGGTTTCACCAAATTCAAAAATTTTGGGTTCAATAAACAATCTATATATATCAGGCATTTCACAATATTTTAAAGTTCAAGGGTTTCGGGAATAGCAAGGTGCAAGTCCGAGTTCCAAGTCCACTTCCTTCTTAATCAACACAAAATCTACAGAACAACCAACGATAGAGGTCGGGAAAACTTCCCAAAAGAAACGAGGATCAGTTCCTCAGCCAGGAATAATCTCGATCCCAACGGTCACTACCGAATAATGAACGCTTAGCTCATTCTACTCTTCCGACAAACCGTGCCAGCCATCACATTAGCTCTCGGTCAAGCAGCTAACCATGCCGGCAGTCTTAAATGAGCTTCTAAAGATACAATGAACGAATATCAAAAGTGAAGGTTGCTCTGCACTCCATGATGTGCTTGCCCCGGACTCGACTATCCTCCTTAAAATATTTATGCATGATCTTTTGAGGTGGAAATAAACACTCCTTGACATGCGTCAAATCACTCCATCTTTCTTTTCGAACCGATTGGTGTTGGCTTCTGCTCCTCACTACAAGAAATTGTCAAAATGCCAACGGAAATTACCAACAAAAATTTTTTCGTTAGGGATTGCCAACGGATTGCCGACGAATTAGCAATGCATTATATATACAATTTTTCTAAACATATTACCAACAGAATACTAACAAGATCTAGCAACGGAAAATTACATCTTTGTATTCCGTTGGCAAATAGTGACGGAAATATTCCGTTAGTAAACACAAACAAAATACCAATAGAATAGCAACGAAGTCTTTCAAAATTATATTAGCAACATATTAATCCGTTGGTAAATAGCAACGGATTTTTTTAGTTGTCAAACAGCAACGGAATAGCAACGGACATCATCAATATTATATTAGTAACGGATATTTTTCCGTTGGTAAATAGCAACGGATTATTTCCGTTGGCAAATAGAAATAGAATAGTAACAAACTCTTTCAAAATTGTATTAGCAACGGATTTTTCTGTTGG